GCAGCGGTTCTCAACCTGTGGGTCGCGACCCCTTTGGGGCTCGAACAGCCCTTTCACAGGGGTTCCCTGATTCATAACAGTAGCAAAATTATAGTTATGAAGTAGCAACGAAAATAATTTTATGGTTGGGTGGTCAACACAACATGAGGGACTGTGTTAAAGGGTCACGGCATTAGGAAGGTTAAGAACCACTGCTCTAGTGGTATAGCTTAATCAGAAATTTCCTGTTTTATCCCATCTTTCATTATCAAGTTACTTACCTTTCCTAGTAATACTAATCTTATAAAAAATTAGTGTAGTGCAGTAGCTAATTAAAACTAATTTGTTAAGGCATAATCTCCTAGTACTTAAACAATTTCCTAACTTTAACCAAAAACCAGTTTGTTAACGCTTTCTACTTAAAATGTTCCCTTGACTCCAAAATGTATATTTCATTTAGTTTGTTTAACCTTGAAGGTATTACATAATATTTGAGATTGTTTCCATTTTCATAAGAAGTTCAAATTAAAAGAATATAAATGTTGCTTTGAAGTAAAAATGTTGAAAAAACTATCACTACAGAGTACTGATTCTACATGTGTTGCCTTTGAATAAGGCCAGGGTACACTAGCACTACAAAAATAAATGAAAACAGAAGCACCTTTAAATAAGAAATAGCAAATTAATGTTACTAAAACTACATTTATTTCACTTTCAGAATTTCTAAAACTAAGATCAATTTAGAGAAGATGGTTGTCTTTCTCCTTTATTATTCTTTTATTTCTGCATGACATGCCAAGAAATTTTGCAGTCAACCTTTTCAATTTTGTTCTCTCTCTTTTTTATAATGTCAAAATTCCAATAGGGAAAAGATGCGTGTTTTCTAATTATGCTTTATTTTGCCCTTCCTGGGGAAAGAGAATAACATTTGTGCCTTTGCCATTATATTTCTATTAATCTAATGCCAAGGCACCTGCAGTTAGGTAACTGATGACATTTATAAATATTTATTTCTGAAACGTTTTCTAAAAATGAGAACTCCGACTGAAGGAAGTTCATACTGACAGAGGTCTAGGTCTTATCTTTTTATTTGCAGATAACATACCAAAGTCTTTGTTTTTATATTATTTGAAATGTATAGCCTCAAAGAAAAGTGTCACCTGTATTCTCTAAGTAAGACATAATATAGCAACTCCTGGCATTTCAGAGTTTCATATGTATTTTAATGATTTATGTTTCCATGGCAGATCAGTGGCTTACTACTGGAAGGTTGCAGTTTTGATGGAAATCAGCTTTCTGAAAATCAGCATGATTCTCCTAGTGTGTCTTCTGTTCTCCCATGCTGCATGGGCTGGATTCCACAGGTAACATTTTTAACAGGAACACATTTTAAGATCATCAATTTAAATTTGTTGGTTTAAAATAGGGTATCTATGGCTTGTGTGGCTTTGTTTATTATTCCTAACCTCCTGTGCATTTGGACACATGTTACATTTGCAGTCAAAATATTTCATCTTTACTGTTTTTAAGATGCAGAGGGCATTTAAAAACCAGTATGCTATTGAAACAATAACAATATGTGTTCTTTTTAGAGATTTCATAGTCTAGTAAGCAAAAATATGGCTTAATTTTCATCACAATAATAAAACAGCAACAAAGCCCACATGGAAGAAGCACACCAGCCTATGCAACCACAAGGTGTCGAAGGGATCAGGTATAAGGCATCATCCGAACAAAAAATATTACCATAGTGAATGATGGGGGGAGTGCGGAGTGGAGAACCAAAGCCCATTAGTAGGCCACTGGAGATCCCCTTGCAGAGGGGTCTCAGGGAGGACATGAGCCAGTCAGGGTGCGATGTAACAAAAGGTTGGCTAGACCAGTGGAGGTACACTGGTACAGATAGGAACTGAAAATCCAGGGAATCCAGGGCGGATGAGCCCTACGGGACCAGTGGTGTCAGTGGCGAAACAGGGAGGGTGGAGGGAGAGTGGGTAGGAAGGAGGGAACCGATTACAAGGGACTATATGTGACCTCCTCCCTGGGGGACGGACAACAGAAAAGTGGGTGAAGGGAGACGTCGGACAGGGCAAGATATGACGAAATACCAATTTATAAACTATCAAGGGCTCATGAGGGAGGGGGGAGCAGGGAGGGAGGGGAAAAATGACCTAATGTCGGGGGTCTAAGTGGAGATAAAATGTTTTGAGAATGAAGTACAAATGCGCTTTACACAATTGATGTGTTTATGGATTGTGATAAGAGTTGTATGAGCCCCTAATAATACTTTACCTCATTTATTCCTAAGAGCAACCGAAGGGAGGAAGGGTCACGCCTATTTTAAAATGAAGCAGTGTCGGCCCAGACTAGCTGGATCACTTCCCACAGCTATGCACACACAAAGGGACAGAATGAAGATATTGATACAACTCTGCCTTTGTATCATGCTGTGCCACTGTGTTGGTGTAAACAGATAAATGAAGAAAACTGTCTTGATAGAGACTTATTTAGTTAACTTTCTTCCCTTTTAAAACCTTCAGTAACCTAGAAAGCTTTCAACAATGGCAATTGGGACTAGCTGCCCTTCAAACGGGACATAGTTGTAGATGGAACACATCAGTTTGTCTTTGCAATGATGTGTGAAAATGCAAGTATGAGTATATTGAACAATGTTAGGATTTTGAGCATATACCTAATATCTACTCTATTGCTAATTATAGTAAAAATGACTTTGTTCATTGGGAAATATCAATGTACTGAGTTTTCTGGTACAGTTACTCTCTTTATAGAATAAAACCAAAGCTTCACAATATTTGAAAAAAGTAACAGCAACAATTAAGCTAATAAAGCTAGCAGTGATTAGCAGACATTGCTCAGAATGTTAAAGAGCATGTATTTCTGTGAACTCCTCTTTCTTTTTTCAGATCAGCATATTCCCTTCATATTAGAATGATGTATCAGGTAGAAGAGGGGGAGAGTTTGAAAGAAGCCTGGCTTTAGTTCAATCTGGCTATTAGTTCCTATAAGATATTTCTACCAAAAAGTACATTTTGGCTTACTCAGATTCTTATCTTAGGTGGAAGAACCAAATAAGAAGCGATACGTAAAAGTAAAGTTTGAAATCTATAATGTTTGTTACCTATCACATATGAAGTTTTGTATGATGGAAGAGATGAATTCAAATGAATCCAAATTATGTAAAGTGTTTATCTCTAGCAAACAGATTTAAAATTCATATAATAGCCATAAATGAATCAGTAGGGGGAAGGTAGAGGGACAAATACAAGCTGGTTTCTTTAAGGACCGATCCTAGCAATGAAAATAGAGCATGAGAAATAGGTGACTGGGCATTAATGTAAATGAAAATGATCTGGAGCAGTGCCCAGATAACTGACCACTTACTGAATGCAAATCAGGAATGCGGTGCTGTTACAAAGCCAGTCACGCTGGCTTGTATGAAAAGCTATGTGTCCTTCCAAGATTAGGAATTGCTCCCTTCACAATACTTTACTTTAACTATAATCATTTCTATACAGTTTTAGTCACAGCACCTTAAAAAAATTAGGATCCAGATAGAAAAATAAAAGTAATTTGAAAAATAGCTCATGTAAAGAGACATAAAATGAGTTGGGATGTTTAACTTATAAATGAGATGACTAATGATCATTGGATTTTTTTTATGTAACTGATGACATTTGTAAGTCTTTCTTTCTAAATGGTTCACTAAAAATGAGATGTCTCTTTATGTGTGCAAACTTTTCCAGACATATAACTGAAATAATCTGCTTCTTCACTTTAATTTCCCTCTTTTCCTTCTAGAAGTGAGCCTCCTATTTTCCATATCATCATATTGCTTTCAGATTGGGTTTCTTGCTCCCTAAGTAAGAAAGAATATGGGTATATTGCTAAGTGGTGTGGAACACACAAATTTTGTGTCCTCCAGAAGAAAATTCCCCACCTTAGCTCCCAAGTTACCTAACTGCATTGAACCACTGTCTTACTCTACAAATGGAGATTGTGTTTCCACAAGACCATCCCAAGAAGACGGTCTCACAATAAATTCCTTTGTGTAAAGCGCCTTGTGCAATATCTCAAGGGGTTAAGTCTATTTCAACCTGTTGTCAATGTTTTAAATTTTTTTTACCATGGTATGGTAATAATTCTTCTATTTCATGCTATCTAATGCTTTATAGTTTCTACTTCACACTGGTGGTGTTCAAACATACCAGCTATTATGCTCATCACTGGAGCTAGAGAGTCTACTTTTCAGTGAAGGAGGGTATAGGTAAAGAAACAATCACAGCTCACAGAAGTGCAGTTATATAGGGTTACATAGCGTGCTTAGGGAGCTGAGGGAGGACTTAATTCTCGTTTGTGTGGGCAGGTGAAGGTACATCAGTTCAGCTCTTAGAGGGGCATCTTCTCTTGAATTACAAAATACAACAAAAGTTAAAGGGAGAGGAGAATACATTCTGGGTAGAAGGAGCAGAATATGTACATACACAAGGTATTGAGTTGCCTAATGGAGTCTCACTGTTTGCCTTGTAAAACAGAATGCTGTCTCTCAGACATCAGTCTGTCGCCCGTGCTATTTGTAGGAGACAGAGTTTTAAGCCACTCCCCTTGGAACAAGCAGGGGGAAAGTGTTTTGTGTAGAGACGTCCAGACTTTTTCCTTGGACTCACTAGGGAAGCTAACAGGTGCTCCAGATGCTTGGTCATACGCAGCAGTTCTTATCTGTGACGCCTCATCACTATATTTTGCTAATTACCGGATACGAACAACAACATTCAAGACTTTTTATTGGCAGGGAAGCTGTAACATTGCTTCTATTTTAAAGGCATTATACTTTGTCAGTTAGCAAAGTTGGAATTAGTAATTCTCAATGAGAATTAAAGATTAAATATAATGCTGGTGAAGGCATCTTTCAACTGTGTTTGTTAATCATTAAATATTCCACTAATATAATATAACATACACTCACATTATTTCTTCATGATGAAAATTCTAACCAAATATATAAAATTTCAAACTGGAACCACACTTTTGAAAGGTATGGCATATGAAAACATTAATTTTTTAGATAATTTATCCCAATGTGAATATTTCCAATGATTAAACTTTAATTATATAATCTAATTTATTTACATGTATTATGATATGAATTTTTTGAAACCTTTCTGATATGCTCCCTTTTTTGCATTAATTTAACACTTAGTATATTTGTTAGTAATTATTAGTAAGATTTTCATTTCATTCAAACATGGCAACCCAGCAGGGTCTATCCTTTTTCTGTTACAAAAGAATTACAACATAAGAATTTAATCCATTTGAACAATATTCATGGAAATCTATATACTCAAGGAATTTTGTTAACAGTGAAAATGACTAAAGTAGGCTCAGCTAGATGAAGAAGAATGTGGCACCAGGATTAGAGGAAGGCTCATTGATAATCTTCAATATGTAGATGACACAACCTTCTTTGCTGAAAGCAAACGGAACCTCAGGCACTTACTGGCAGCTCCCTGTCAATGGACTGCTGCCACCATTGTTAGATGATCTTCAGCACAATTTTACTTTCAACTAGTATTAATGATAGCATTTCTGCCTTTTGGGCCCCCGTTCTTTGGAATGATCGCAAATGTGGATCTCTCTCTGTCAGTTGGTCAAGTGACTATCTTCCAAACTTCCTGACATAAACGACTGAATGCTTTCTGTGCTTCACCAGCTTATTGAAACGTTTCAACTGGTATTACATTAATTCCTGGAGCCTTGTTTTTGGCTAATGATTTTAGTGCAGTTTGAACTTCTTCCTTCAGTACCTTGGTTCTTGATCATATGCTACTTCTTGAAATGGTTGGATATCAACTAGTTCTTTTCCAGTATTGCAACTCTAAGCTTGAGTTTTTCTTTAGTTCTGTCATTTTAAGATCGGCTGAGTGGGCTCATCGTTTTGGTTCTAACTCTAGGTCTCATCACATTTCATCATAATACTTTGTTCTCAACTGCCCTTAGACATTTTCTGTGTAGCTCCTTGACTTCGTCAGTTCTTCCATTTGCCTCAGCCACTCTGTGATTAATAACGTGTTTCAGAGTCTCTTCTGACATCCACTTTGATCATTTCTTCCTGTCTTCTTCTAAGTAGCTTTATTAGAAAACGGGTTCTAGAAATATTCATTCTGCCCCTATTTTTGGCAACTGTCTCATATCCACACTCAACCACTACCTCATACTGTTGTAAAATGATGTTGTCATCGTTGTTGTGACGGACCATAGACACGGGGCAGTTTGGTGGGAATACAGACAGCTTGGGAGACCGCTGGGTCAGTTGCACTCATCAGCGCTGGTGTGGAAGCTTCAGTGG